AGGGGACAATCAATTCCAAAGCCCATTCTTGAGCCAGTTGCTCCAGAAAGAGCACCAATCAGTTATTGTACATTGATTAAAATCTTCTAAATCACCCCAAACACATTCTAAATGGTATAAATATAAATAACTTAGCACTAACCCGATCATGTCATGAGTATCAAAGAGATGGAAGCATACCACCCATAGGAAAAGTAAATCTCTCCATCCAGCCTGACAGAACTACCCCTTACTTCTCTTCTCAGATGTGAACTCCATTGACTCCAATAAGGCTTCATTCCAAGCCTTTATTTCTACCCCCCCTTTTTTTTTTGCATCTTGCCTGCTATGGTATAGAGCAGTGGTTCCCAAACTTGGCAACTTTAAGACTTGTGGACTTCAACAAGCAGAGCTGGCTGGAGAATTCTGGGAGTTGAAGTCCACAAGTCTTAAAGTTGCCAAGTTTGGGAACCACTGGTATAGAGGTCTTAAAGCAGAGTGAAGACAGACAAGTTTGAGTTTTGATTTTAGTAGGACTCAGCTGTTTTAAATTAAACACAACAGCTCCATCTTAACTTCTAATTGAATCCAATTTTGATAAATGGTTGGCCGTCCGCATTTAAACCTATTTTGTACCTAGAAGTAAATCCTACAAACTTCCTATTTATTTTGGGATGGTGTTGTGCTTCTTGTTATTTATCTTTAATAGTTTTCTCAGAAAGAGAGAGAGAGACAGAAACCGAGACCACAGGCTCAAGATTAAAAGAAGCTATAGTGCATGCCCAATTTCCTTTTGGCTGTTATCCTTCTTGCCACACAGGTTTACCAGCAAAATTCAGCCGACCTTACTTCCTGTAAAGGATTTGCACTGTCTCTCCCTCCCTTTCAAGCATTTCACTGGATATAGCATTAGAAAACCAGTGACGTCACTTGAATGACCAGCAAGTACGGTAAAGGCAGAGGCTGCAGCGCAGTCAAAGCACCAGCAGAATTTGGTCTCTGGAGAAACAACCATCTGCGTCACTGGAGCCTGAGGCTGAATGATGACAGGCTGTGCTGTTCTGCCCACTTACCTGGGAATACTCAATGGGGCTGCTATCTCCTGAGCAGACATATATAGGGTTGCATGCTTAGTTTCATTCTCTTCTTTTTAAACTTCCATAAACCCACAGCAGTACTGTCCAAATTGTTTAAGATTTTCAGGAAGTTGTGCTATGGACTTTGGAAAACTACAGATGTGCTCTTGGTGATCTACTCCATCCTTACTCAGTCTCTCTCTTTCTCTTTCAGACGCACAATGATTTGCATGCACCAGCCTAATGTTTCTTAATGTTACTCTGTGTCCAGCTTGTAGGAAGTGACCAGACAATTGCCACCTACCTCTTGAGTCTTCACCACATCACCCACCGTTCAGACATCAAAACTAGCAAGTCCTTTCTCATTCTTTCAGATCTTTGAACACACTGAAATAATGGCATTAAAAAGACAAATATTTCTGTGGGTCTGTGTCTGTCTTTAGCCCCCCTCTCCTCTTTACATTTAGTTTTCTATCATTTTTCCCCTTGAAAATATCCTGAGACTGGGAAAGGTGACATTTAATCTAATACAATACAAGTCTGCAATCTTGACCAACATGTATGGGACCATCCTACAATGTGATTCATCATTTTGGAATTGCATGCAAAAATTAAGCTATGGGATGGTTAAGGAGCCACCAGTTCATCTCCGAGGGCTGCCAGTCAAAGATTTATTTTCCATCCTTATCGAAATATGTCTACATCTTAACAGGGGTATATAAATGTATAATATATCTCTATAAAGATATAGAAATGTCATTTTGCTTTTAGCTTGAAGATGTTGATATTTTATTACAAAAATAAATGAATAAATAGTAATACAATGATATATTGTTGCTTTCGACAGGATAAATATTTTACAAATATATAATCTTTTAAAAACAAATGTAACTGTTAAATTATGGAAAATATGACACTTATTGATAAAATTATCAATAATATATACTGCATTTCTTATTAGAATTGATTGTTCTCCAAAGATTCAATTGAAAACCCTTCATATAAAACAAGTTTCGACCATTGCAATATGCAAATGCCATTGACTACATTAAAAGATAAAGTATCGCTTTAAAAAAATCTGCTGTGATTTAAATACAAGCCGAAAGTTTCTGTTTATATTCTGCAAAATTGCCTGTCGAAAACAGTGATCAGTGAGGTGATTTGGACATTTTATATTGGTTAGAGATTTGGACTGAACGTAATGAGGTCAACTAGAAACTCAGGGTGGGAGAATAGAAAAGCTTACAGAAAAGGAATGTAATTCTTGGAATCACTGATTGATTTCGTAACGTTTGTAAAATATTTTGCCCCCTTCTTTTCCATTTTGATAGAATTGAATATAGGAAAAGAGCCTAATTGTGTGATCTTAAACATTTCCTCAGAAGTAAATCTTCCATTATGCTCAATGAAACTTTTTTCCAGTTGTGCCTTTAAAGAGTTGCAGTTTGAATTACCAATCACGGAAGACAGAACTGGTCAGTTAATACAGTGCTTAGAAACATTCTGATGAGATAAAGCATTTCCATCATTTTCATGATATAACAACATATGTTCTCCTTAATGCTTCCTCTTAGTGCTGGAGGGCCTTGAAATTCTGAAACTCCAGTCCTACAAACATCAAAGGGAGGGAGGGAAGGAAGGAAGGAAGGAAGGAAGGAAGGAAGGAAGGAAGGAAGGAAGGAAGGAAAATAGGCAGGCACCTTGGTAGATTGTGTATATATCGACCCAGACATATTTTGCAAATACTTGCTTTCAGACGTGACTGACCTAAAACCCTCCTTAACAGAAAATAAAGGCTTTCATCAAAATGCAATAAGCAAATAAATAAAACAAGTTATATACAGACTCATTTTCTGGCAAAACTCCTCATCCCTTTCCGGTCTTTCTCTGCTTTGCATGTAGGATTTTATCTCATGTAGTTGCCACTATATCAATCACATAAAATCAAGTTTATGGCCTCAATGCTGAAAATTTTCTTTCCTTGCTTCTGTTGCACGCAGTCAATAGCTTCATTCGTCTTTTAAGTTGTAAAACTGTAACCGGGAACTCCGAAAATTAAAGTAACACAAATCCTACACTAATCTTACCAAGGTCTCTTCCATCCTTTTCAGGATGTTGCCAAAGTCAACAAGCATGTGGTACCGTATTTACCAGTTTAATTTGAAGTTAAAACAATGCCTTTTAGGGTATTGGTGTCAAAACTTACTGGAAAAAAATAACATTCGTTATTTGTTTTAAACATTTATCAAATTAAAGAAATGGGGCTAGCAATCTGTTAAAACCTTAGGTTGACCATCACTTTTAGATTTCTGCTTCTGTTTGGGGGGGGCAGCAGAACACACATTTACATTATTGCAAACATGGGATTCAAACTTCAAACCTGTTCTAGCTTCTTTGTGTAATAACAAACAGGATAACCAGCATGTTAGTGGTACATTGACCAATATCCTCAGTATCACCAAAATTCACATTAATTATAATATAAGACTAATGTAAAATGTGGAAAAAGGGGGCACTATCTCTAATGCATCTTCACCCATGTCACCTCCCAAACATTTCTCTAAAGCAATACAACAATTATAATCTATTAGAACTCTAATTAAAGTTCTGGGTGTTTTCTTCTTTCTCCTTATTCATATGTATATATTCAGAAGTATCATTTGTTAAATTATGATAGTGATAAATTAAATAAAAAGTTATACACACCACAATGTATTGAAATAATATTTTCTCAGGGAAACCGCACTTTACGGGTTATATTGCAAACGGAGGACTGGGGCATTATATAGATAGCTTATCACCTGGGATTACTGTGCTAAACTTATTCCTTAAAAAGGAATTGAACAATGGCTTTCTCTTCTAAAGTCTTGCTTTATCAATCCAATACACACTCTCGATGCATTGATCTAGAAATACTGTATAACTACCTACGGATTTATTAGGAGTGGAACTACTTCCAAATGGCTAATTTCACCAGTACTGGTGAAGAAGAAAGGATTCTCTCCCTCTTCTGTCAAAATATCATCAAAAGCTACAGAAAACAGTTTGGTTCTATTTTTGATTCCGTCATTTAAAAGGTTTTCAGTATTTTCTTAAGACAATTTACTGGACACATTTTTTAATGTATCAGACAAAAGACTATTTCATTCTAACAAATTTATTTTCTCAATCAGCTCTTACGGAATCACTACTCAAATTAAATTACAATCAAATTATCACATCAAAAGATACCCTTATTACCTAATAGCTGTCCATATTTTTTTTCCATTTTATTTTTGTAAATTTGTGCTCGTTTGAAAAAAACACGTAATACAAGATCTGGGGAAAAAATAAATTACCGTTTTGCAGTAGTTCATAGGTATTCTGAATAAAATATTAAAAGAAGTCATTTAATGAAAATATAAAGCAAATTTTTTTAGATCAACAATGGATCTAAACATTTCTCTATTGCTGTCTTTTTTCTTTTTTCTTTGTTTGTTGAAAAGTCTGTTTATTAAAACCTACCAAAAACACTGCGAGGAAATGGCAGTATTATAGAATCACTTCCACAGCACCCATTCAAGCAAGTTGGCAACGGATTTAGGAGAGAAGTTCAGATAAGTGCAGTTGCAGATGCCCAGTTGCTTTTTAAATCCCTTTATCTGAATTAGTCCAAAAATAAAAAATATTAATAAAAAAATTATCAGTGAGATTTTAAAAAATTAATCTTCCAGGGTGATAGGCAGCCATCAGAAGCATAATTTTGACAGCCCCTGAATTATTCCTTTTATGTCACTGTTTTTCTTAATTCATGCAAAATTCTTCTATGGAGCTCCAACTTTAAGGACCAACAACCTTGCTTTGCTTTCCCCACTCCAACCCCTCCCGAAAGTAAGAGCCCTTCCCCCCATTTTTTCTTTTCAGGGTCAGCTTTCCACTTGCCGTGTTTCTTTCTTTCTTTATCTCCTCCCTCCCTCCTCTCTCTTTCTCATTGTGAATAAATTCTCTTTCCTATCCTGACTGCTTATTTTTTTAACTCTTGAGTGCATTATTTCCCCATTTTCCTTATCTAAAGAGACTGTCACCTCCCCTCCCCCCATTTTGCAGAATATCACCCTTCTCAAGTGGATTCCTGCCCTGCACCAATAATTAATGTAGTTTGGCCAATAATAACTAAGTTCTGGGAAGCAGCTAATGTTTGTTACTGGTTTTGTTCCTGATGCGGCTTTACATCTCTAACTTTTCGCGTGTATTTTTTTTTAAACTGCCTGTCTGTGTTTATACGTGCACGTGTTTGAGCTGGAGAGAAAAGTTTCAGGAATTTCACAGGACAGTCCTAATGGTGAGTGCGGTAGCAGGTGGGTGAGGCTAGGAAATGACGAAGGAGAAGAGAAAGGTAGGGGCAGATAATAGAAGTAGGGGATAGTGCTTGTTTTGTCGCTGCCTGAAGGCAACAACACAGGACGTAATTTAGATTTTGTTGTAGAATGCTACCCAAAAGAAGAGAAAAAGAAAAAGAATCAATTTTTGGTCTGTCTGGGTTTCCATCACGATGTTTTCTCCATGCTGAGATGGAATTCCCACCGCTGGGCTGGACTTCTCCAAATGTTTCTGATACAGAGACGGGTAAAAAGAATGGGGGTCGGGGAACCGAACACAAACGTGGGCTGCAGGTGTCTGGTCGTGTTTTTGTTTTCCTGTTTGCCTCCCTTCTCCATCTCCCTCCCCTCCCCCACCCGGACTGCCCACCAGCGCGGTGCTTGCCTCCCTCTCTCGGTCTCCTCTCCTTCTCCTCTCGCCCCCCCTCCTCTCTCTCTCTCTCTAATAACTCCTCTCACTTTTGTGGCGACGACTCTGTCTCTCTGACTGTCTTTCTGTCTCTTTCACTGCACGCTCGCCTGAAGTCCGTGGTGCGGGGGCGGCGTGTCGGAGCTGACGTTGCCGACCTGGGAGTAGACATCGTCGGGCGTCTGCTGCTGGATCCCAGGAGGGGTCATCCGCTTCTCTTTCTGCCTTCGATTGCAAAACCAAACCCTGACCACTTCCTTCTCCAGCTGCAGGCTGTCCGCTAGGTTCGTAATCTCCTGGGCGGAGGGCTTGGGGCATTTCAGAAAGTGGCTCTCCAAAGCCCCCTTGACACTCACCTCGATGGAGGTCCGCTTCTTCCTCTTCCTGCCCTGCGCGGCGATCTTGTCGATGCTAGTCGGGCTGCCCGTGGACGAGTCGGCTTCCTCCAGCCACTTATTTAATAAGGGCTTGAGTTTGCACATGTTCTTGAAGCTGAGCTGGAGGGCCTCGAAGCGGCAGATGGTGGTTTGCGAGAAGACGTTGCCGTACAGGGTGCCCAGTGCCAAGCCCACGTCGGCCTGCGTGAAACCCAGCTTGATCCGGCGCTGCTTGAACTGCTTGGCGAACTGCTCCAGGTCGTCCGAGGTCGGCGTGTCCTCGTCCGAGTGCGGATCGTGGCTGTTCAGGCCGCCGGCACCGCCGCCGCCGCCGCCGCCGTGGTGCTGGTGCGGGTGCGGATGGTGGTGGTGATGGTGGTGATGACCCGGGTGGTCGCCCAGCTCTGGCGTGTCGCCCCTCACCAAGCCCGGGTGCACCAGGCTCTGGCTGCCGGGCGGGGGGCTCAGCATACCATTGACCGTGAAGCCGCCGGGTTGCGAGTAGATGAGCGATTGCTGCTGCTGCTGGCTGGCCATGGAAGGCAAGTGGGCCGCCGTGGTGGAGCCCCAGTGGCTCTGGTGCGGGGGACCCAGGTGCGGCGGCGGGGGCCTGTGGTGCAGCGCCGCGCTCGAGTGCAGGTCGTCCCGCCCGCCGCCGCCGCCGCCACCCTTCACGTCGGGCTGCTGTTGCTGCTGCTGCGCCTGCTGCTGTTGGGGGCTGCCCGTCATGCCCACCGGGCTGCTGGACCAGGGCGAGCCGGCTTCTACGGCGGCGGCGGCTGCAGCAGCAGCAGCGGCGGCGGCGTGGGGCAGGGCTGTCACCCACTGGTGCGCGTGGCTCAGCATATGGCCGCCGTTGCTGGCCGCCATGGCGCCCTGCATGAAGTCACTCTGGACCATCTTCACGGAAGAAGGGTCGGTCCGGTAGCCCCCGCCGGACACCGAAGTGACGGCCACGCTGCCCGGCTGCATCCCCCCGGAGTCCGAGTGGACGATGGAGCCCGCCGACAGGATGCTGTTGCTTGGCAGGTAGGGGTTAGACGCCGCCGTAGCCATCGCTGCTGTTGCTGCTGTTCTCCCCCCCCCTCCACTTCGCACTCCAGCCTCCGCAGCCAAGGAGCGTGGGAGGAGAATCCTCGCCTGCCCGCGCGCCCGGCCGGCACCGAGGCGAGATCCGCGCCGTGCGCACCTTCCTGGGCTCGCGGTTCCTTCTTCAGAAAAGGCAGCCCGACCCCAGCGCTTCCTCGGCTCCCTCCGAACAGTTCTTGCTATTTACCTGTCAGCAGCCGCCAGTATATTGCAGCGGAGGGGGGGGGCAGGGAGAAAGAGGGGGGCGAGAAAAAAGAGCGAAAACTAGGGGAGGGGGTCACCCCACAATAGCTCCCCCTTTGGCTTTCCTTTTCTCCCTCAGGAGCATAGTTCTCTGGCAGTTTCTAGGTTGTTGGTTGCTGTTGTTTTTCCCCTCTAGTAAAGTTTCTTTCTTTCCCTCCCGTTTTTCCTCTTGTAAGGCTTTGTACGGCGGTAAGTAAAACGCGGGTGGGCTCCTTTCTTTCGGCCGTCACGCGCACCCGCTCTCTCTCTCTCGCTCTCTCGCTCTTTCCACCGGTGCGACTCGGCTCCTCGGATGGTCTCGCTCGCCTTCCTTTCCTCTTAACACACAAGTTTTGTTTTGTGTCCTAAGAAAACTTCTGGCGTGGCTGGCGGCGGAGGCGAAGCTGAGGAGACTGCATTGCTCAAAGTTGGCGTCCGGCTGAAGCGCCCGGGTCCCTTGGAAACAGGAGTCCTTTGGCAACCTTTTTACGAGAAGAGCCTGGAGAAGACATTTTCCTCGCCTTTTCTGCCTTCCCTCCTCCGGGATGCCTCTTTCTCCTCCTCCTCCTCCTCTTTTCACATGGGGGAAGGAATCGCGGGCGAGGCGTTCTTTCTTCCTTTTTCTCCAAGCCAAATGAACCGAGGGAAAAAGTTTACAGTTTCTGATCCCCCTTTAATCGGGGCAGGACCCGGGGGGACGGGGGGGACGGAAGCGAGGCGGCGGTCCAGCGGCTGTGAGGGAATCGCCTGGGCGGGAAGAGATGTGCGGCGGCGTGCGCGCGTATAAGGTATCCTTAAGCCACTAACTCCAGTGGGGAAGTTGGCTGCCAGGTTCGCGAAGCGTTAGTGCTCCGGCGGTGCTGGAATACAGCGGCTCAGCTCAGTAATGCTCTTCCCTCGTTGCCGCTGTTGGTGTGCTGCTGCTGCTGCCGCCGCCGCCTGCTCTCCTCCCCCTCCTCTCTTTCTCTTTCTCTCCCTCTGACAGTTCTCTTTCTCCGTCCCTCCCTCGCAGAGCAGGGACTGCCGAATGTTTACCCTCAGCCGAGAGCGCGCGCACCACCACCACACTTTCCCAAATACAAGGAAGTCGAGCGCGAGGGCCCCCGCTGATTGGCTACCCGCTGAGTGATTGACAGGCCCGGAATGACTGGCTCAGGACGCGAGGCCCCCCCTTCCGGCCGTTCCGATTGGTTGCTTTTTAATTTAGGCAAAGTGTCGTGGAGGCTGGAAACCTGCCCTACACCCCCCCACTCTCCCACCCAAGTCCCCCCTCCCTTGGTTTCTTCTCCCTAGCGCTGCCTCCCTCCCTCCCTCTCTCCTCTCGCTTCCCTCCTCCTTCCGAGGACCCACAACGTCTTAACTCTTGGAGCCCGGCGAATAAATCGGGAGTTTTCCCGGCTCTGAGCTGAGAAGAGGGAGGCGAGAGAAAGGCGGGAGGCTGATGGGGAGGGGGGGGGCGAGCCAACGAGAGGAAAGGAGGAGGAGGAGGATAAAGAGGAGCGGGGAAGAGGGGGTTGCTGTGATTGTGGTAGGAGAAGAAAATCCACGGTATAATATTTTACTTGCGTGCATAAAATTCCTCTTATGGGCGCTTAATCCATGTGTCGGGGGGGGGGGATTTGCCCCTATTCGCACAGCCCCGTCGTGTACAAGGGAAGGAAGGCTTGTCTCCCGGCATCTTTCAAAGTTTACTCTTCTCTCGGCTTCGTCGGAGGCGTAAAAGAGGGGTTTCCCCCCTTATCCCGACGCAGCTGCCCACTTCCCACAATGGAAACCTCGGGCAAGCCGAGGCGAAATCCGTGAGCTTTACCCCCCCTCCCCCCATCCTTGCAGGCAGGCAACCGGCCTCCGGTTCCTTTGTCTGAGGCTGTCCCGGTGGCTGCGCTTCATGTGGGAAGTACAATGCCCGGCGCACTCTTGCCCCTTGGAGGAGCCTGTACCCACCGGGCCCTCGGAGGACAACTTACCGAGTGGAAGAAAGGCTCTTCTTTCAGCACGTGCCGTTGCTAAACCTTGGGCAATGTACGAGGCGTCCTTTCAAAGCCCTCGCGCCCTCGCTGCGCTTTCCCGTTGCTTTCTAAAAAAAATAAAAATGCCAGGACTTGCCTTTCCGACCCCCCACCTCGCCCCAAAGGACCCTTAGTTTCTTCTAGCGGCCTTCGCCTTCCCCCCACCAAAACTCACCCCTTTTTCCGAGGGTATTTTGCAAGGAGATAGATCTGGCTCCTTGGATGGCTGCTCCTCCAGCTGAAAGAGTTAAGGTGGGCGGGAGAGCGAGCGAGAAGAGACGGGGAGAGAAAGGGAGGGAGGCGGGCAGGCAGAGCGGACGAGCCGTGCGGAAGGCAAGCGTGGTGGCGGCGGCGGCGAGGCGACCTCGGGGAACAACGGGGCAGTGAAAGTGCCGAGCCAAGCGAGGGGACGCTGACCTGCCTGGGAATTCTAGGGAGAAAAAAACACCACAACGCACCTTTCGGCCGCTCAATGTGGGTTGGGGACTGGCGGAGCGTTGGCAGGGGGGCGCTCCTGTCACCTTCATCTGCCCGGTCTCTCTTTCGGTAAAAAAAAATAAGCCCAAGGTGTTTACACTGAGAAGGGCAACACAACCCCTTCACCGTGCGCGGTCATCCCTCCAATTCCTAGGCTTGCCACAAAAAAGTCCAACGTAGGGGAATGCCAATCCCCCCCCCTCTCCACCCCGGAAAAGGGAAGGTATGTGGGACTGCCCCGTGGAGCGAAGAACCCGAGACCGGGCAGCGTTGGTACAGGACTCGCTCCAGCTCCTGCTTTGTATAGTTAAAAACGACACGCCGTTTTGGGTTGGTTTCAAGGGAGGGGGGTGGGGTGGGGGTGAAGGATGGGAGACAGCAATGTGAATTATTCCGAGACCTACAGCCTCAGTTCAGGAAAGGCGAAATAGCCCGAGTTTCCTTTTTTTATTGCCCGAGCCTTTCCCGAGGTTTTCCTCTTTCCAGCCGAGTTAGAGAGATGAAGGGTTGGAGACAAGATTCCATTGAATCGGTGTGAGATCTCCAGGTGCAGCCGAGTCAATAGTCGGTGCCAGAACCCCATGTTTTCTTTTCCAGCCGATTTTGCTTGGATCAGGCTCAAAAACCGAGTGAGTCTCGTGGTTTTGTTTACACCGAATGGGGAGGATAGCGGCGGTGCCATGGGGCCGTCTTTCATTAATATACAGTGAGGATTTTGTCTAAATTACTGCTATGAATTTCACAGTACATGCTTTCAAAAGCCGTCTCAGGTGGCCTGATGAAACGTGATAGCGCCTCTGCAGACGCAATAATAATAATAATAATAACCATAATAATAATAATATATTTTTTTAAAAAAATTCTCCTGGAACCCAGCCTATACTCACCAAAGAAAGGAGGTTGCTGACTGAGTTTGACGTTTAATTTTTTAAAAAATTATTTTATGTATAAAAGAAAACTTAATCCTCCTCATCTCCCCAACTACTCACTCCCCATCCCGCTTTCCTGTAGAGTGTGATTGCTTTGTCTGGGGAAAAAAATCCAAAGTATAACAAGAGGAGAACAGTTAGTGCTGATTTTCATTTGCATAAATTTTCATATATTTTAGTGAAAATAATAGACTAGTGGAGAGCTGGGCTTAGTGGAGTCAGTGCAAAGGAAAATCTTTCCCTGGATCGTTGCGCTGCAGTCGAGAATGTGAATTTTCCTCCTTAATGGCAAAGCACTTAAAATACAAATTCTGTACATGCTGGAGCGCCTATTGGTAAGTGCATTTATATTTCTCTCCTTTTCTTGTTCTTATTTTTTCTTCTCTCCCCCACCCCACCCCATGCGTCCTGGAACAGTCTGAATGCATGAGAGGAAACCCCCCCTCAAGCACCTTAGTGAAAGATTAACCTAAGAAAGAAAACAATTTCTAAGTGCTTGTGATGCTTGTGCACTTTGGGGGGCACTGCTGTAGCACTTGGAGGAAGGGGGCGAAGAAAAGAAGAGCGTCGTTAGAAAGAGAATGTTTCGCATTTGGCAAAGTGGTCGGAGAGGGGTGCCGTTTTCCCCTCTCCCCCCTCGAGAGAGAGAGGTGAGGGTACCTTTAAAAACACTAACTCTACGCTTTCTAAGGGACGCGGGCTGACCCAGAGGGGGTAGCAACCCAGCGGCGACGAAGGCCGGCAGTGATGCGCGCAGAGGGTTAATGTTGTAACTAGGGAACAGACGGTTAAGCACAACATCTAGAGCTCTGTAGTGAAAGTCCATCAGAAAGAGTATAATCAATCAAAACTAACCAGGACATCCCTTCATTTTATCCTCTGAGGAGGCAGGGACTGAAGCAGAAGCAGCCGACTTCACTCCAGCTCTCCCCCCCCCCTTTCTCCGAGGCACCCACCCACCCTGGCACCCCTTGCTCCTCCTTGGCGCCCTTCTTTTTAGAGCCCGGATTTCGGATCCTTCGGAGGCGCAGATCGGAAGGGTAACCTAACGGGAGTCATTAGAAAGCTAGCCAGGTCGGAAGGCGAAGCGGTCGGCAGACCCGAAGAAAACTTTAGCCGGCTCTCTAAATTCCTAACGCGGTGGGCGTCCCCCTCCCCACTCCGATGATTTCTTCTCTTATATTCCGACATACCCCACCCCCTCTTTTTATTTATTTATCTTATTTCTGTTCGCGTTCCAGGATTTCCTCTCTGCCTTAAAAAATCCCCCAGTTCACACAGGTGAATATTTTGAGTTGCAAAACAAAAGAACCGCAACACAACACAGCAAATCCCTATATTAGATCGAGAGATGGCTGGTAGGGAGGTGTCGGTTTCAGATGGGGGTGGAGGAGAATGGCCGGTCTCCCTTCTCTCGTGGACGCGCTCAGCTTCCCTTTTGACTGGGGTTAACTCTGTGTGTTCCATTGGAACAGATGCGGTATAAAGCTGCTCCCTCCAGATCATTTGTTTCCTTGATGGGGGAACATTTCTGAGCGGAACATATTGGTTGCCATAGAGAAAGAAATAAAGGAAGAACACTAGTCACATTAAGCTATATGTTTGTGCACTGGGCTTTAGATAAAAGGCCAAGCTCCAGCCAAAGAGGAATGAAGCCAAAACCAGAGCTTTTCTAGCTTCACTAAAACTTACTTTATTTTGTTGTGGGCTTTTTACAGTACTAGCTTATACGGGGATTTTATTGGTTGTTAGTGTTTTTTTTTAACGTGCGGTATGTTGAACAAAATAAAACTTTTTTAAGTTTTCGAGGGAACTGTCTGTCTTGACCGGCAGGGGGCACGCTGTGGTGGCGATCGGCGAGGGGATTCAAAGTACTTTCACTGAGCATCAGTTGCCTTCTTCCAAAAGTTTGTTAGAAAGAGAAATAAGGAAGGGGTTATTTTCTCTTTCTGTCTTCCATCTATCTCTATTTCATGAAAGTATATTTTTCTATGTCTATGCCTTGTGAGCACGAGAAAGCATGTAGCTAGGAAATAGTGCCTTTCTCCCCCTTACAAACACCAACCTACTATTTAGATAGCGCAGTTAGAACCATAGGAAAGAGGCAGCAAAGGATGCACCAGTAATGGAAACTGTTGTACTATAGTTCCTTGTGTAGGTGTGTGTCCCTCATGGCCCAGTTCATCCAGGGCATGCAGAGTCACGCTGAACCACACAGGAGAAAACAAACTCCCAAAACACCATAACATCCTGATAGTGCATAACATAACATTCTGAGATGTGCCCTACCATTGACGTCCAGGATTTGACCATATATAGA